TAAGGTATATTCATCCCTTTTATTCTTGTCGTGCAATGAATAGTTATATATGCAGTCATTGTTTTTACTGATGAATAGGGTCTTAATATAAAGACTTGAGGGTCGAAGTGAAAGACGTATTTTGGACAGTTAGGTACGTGGAATATAATCATCATCCTATTGATCAATACCTTTCAATACTTTTATAATTACATTATAATCAAAAAGACATGCACATGTTTATAATTAAATATAAATAACAAACCATTTGTTCCTACTCCTGTTTTTAATTACCATTCTTTCAAAGCGTGTGTCACCAACATTAGTCGCTTTTTCGTCGTTACCAAAATTTAAACAAGTTGGTTTCAAATCATATTTAGAGAGTTTTGATGGTTCTATTTTAGACGAACCATTGATGTACAAGTAATATATCGGTTGCTGCTGTTTAAAAGTTTCAATCGACACTTTATCTGTTTTAACAAGAAGTACAATAATAATAATAAGTATTAGGATAACAACAATAAACCCTATTATAGACCCAAAGACAATGCCAAAAATCTCACCAATAGAAATAGATGGTTTGTAACAGCTATTTACATCTTTTGGATCTGTTACATACCCTTCCTCACAATAACAAGTCAAGTTGCAATTGGTACCACTATCACACTCTTCTGTAAATAATGGGTTGGTGTCTATTTTTCCATTTCCGCACAATTCGTGTTTACAATTTCCTTGTCCATCACTGAAAAATCCCAATTCGGCATGACATTCACAATTTTCTCTGCATCCATCACTTCCGATTTTACACATATCTCCAGTGATATGGCCACTTGTACATTGAGAGGAAATACACAAGTGATTTTTAAGTGTTGTTCCTGGCTCACATTTACAGTATTGGTCGCAAAAGAGTGAATCAAATAAACACTTTCCGTTTGCGTCTTCATTCCACGTTCCTTTGTCGTAACATTTTCTGTGACAATTGTCTCTTCATGTTATTTAATTAAATTTTAATCATAACATTTGTATTCATAAAATAGTTTGAATATCATCATTAAAAGTATAAAAATATTTATATCAAAGAACAAACCCACCATATCCATCTTCACAAATACACTTTCCCTCACGAGTTGAACATGAACCATACCCCCTTTCATTATTACAATCGTTTGGACAAACGACTGATATTTCAAGAGTTATTAAAGCCTTTTGGTCATTGGTCATGACTGCAAACGTTCGTTTCCCTTTATCACTTCCTTTAATTCTCACAAGAAAGCCTTCATTGTCGATATACTTATAAGCACCATATCTCTTTCCATCCCAAGCTTGAACACAAGTAGTTCGTATAGCACCGTTTTCGTCTGTTTCTTGTATGTATTCTTGTAAATAACATATTCTATTCTGTTTTCTTGCATCAAAAAGGACGCTGTAATTCCCATTAAATTTAATTTCAAAAACTGCCAACTCCATATTAATCTGTGGAATACAAGCAGGCGCGCCAGTGATAGCTACATCAGCAAAGTCGATATCCCAACTGATTTTTTTATCAAGATCAAAGGCGAGTGGAGTTATATCACTTTGGTTGAACTCCCTCAGAACTCTTCCTAGTCGTCCTTCTTGTTCTGAAATTTCCAAATGGAAGTCTGCAAATGCATAGTCTTTTGTTCTTATAAAGATATAATAATATTTTAAATCGGTAATATTGTCTCGTAATATATTGGGGATTTGGTGTCTGTAGTACTTCTTTTCTTCCGGCATGACGGTGTACCCATAGCAATTCTTTCTTTGTCCTCTTTGAGATTCTGTTACTGCAGATATTAACTCATAGTTTGTGTTGTTCTCTTTTGTGATAACAATTAAGAAGTGGTCTGTTGTGATAGAGTCTGCTCTTAACTTAAACCATTGCCCCAAATTGTATTTCTTTTCCTTGGAACAGAACCCATAATCAATATAACTATTTTGGTCAATTCGAACTTTGATGGGTTTGTTTAAAAAAACTTCGGTTAGATATTTTTCTGGTGGTAACCAAGAGCCATCAGCTTTAATTATTTTGTTTGTGCTTAATATACAATCAGTACCATTTGTAAGGTACACATCTGATGTATCAAGATATGGATTGTTAAATCGACAGTTATTACAAGAACGGTCATTGTCATATTCAGTCTTACATTCTCCGGTACATGTGTATTGAGTAATACAGCCATCTGGACATCCCGGAGAACACTGGAATGAATACACCAAAGTGAACAACATAAATAAGAACGTGCAACAAATATAACACATCTCTATGAATATACAATTTTTGAGCGAAAAATCTTTTATATAAACCCTTATATTTATATTTTCATTCAATTTAAAGACGTAATAATGCTCTTTCTATTACAAATTAAGTGTTTACCATGATCCAAAAACTTATTGGGTGCCGGTATTATTTAAAAAAAATGTAATAAGTTTACCACCGATTTTTATATCAATTTTATCTTGGAAAAAAAACAAATAAAAAATAAAAAATTAATACCCAATTTCTTACATCTATAAATCAATCCTTAATTATCTTAATACCTCTTAAGTTTCTTGCATCCATTTTATACTTTATCTGTATTTTGTGTGTTATAGATACCCGAAAACCCAATCGACACTGAAAAAAATATAGACAAACCATAAATTATAGTAAATTATAGTTTTTTTGCTTTTTGTCTCGTTTTTTCAATTTTTTTATAAAAACTATTAAATAGTTTTGAAAAACTATTTATATGGTTTACTAGTCGTTTTTTGGTGCCGGTTAGCTTTCAGGAATCTGTACACATTATTCTTTTTTATCTTTAAACAAGCAAGCCAACTTTTTGAAAACTTACTATATTCACAAATAATTTTTAACAATAACCCGCTTTTATTTCGGCATTTAACAATGTATATTAAAGTTCTAAAATAGTATGTCTATCTGTTTAATTAAGTTGTATTTGATTGGTATTATTATTATAAATTATCATATAAGAAAGGATGAATCATTTTTCATGTAGAAACAAACAAAAAACAAAAGGCAAACGTAAGAAACTAATTATCTTATGTTTGAAACCTAAGTGTTTTCATATTTTTTAGAACTAACCGCTTATGATAACTTTAAAAAGATATCGTATAATAACAACGAAAAGAAAGTATATACCGATGTTCGACTATAGTTTCGACAAGTATTAAGTTTTAGATTTGTTATTTTATTACTATTTGAATAATTTTAAACAAGTTTCTTCATTTGGTTTCAAAAAATTGCATAAATATAACTTTTCATGTTTAGTCTTTACAATGGTATAGAAATTATTAAATTAGTCGAAACCTTTGTCCCACATCTGTAATTGGTTTAACAAATTAACTCCATTTCATAAAACAAGTTAATTTATATGACAATTTTCAATAACTTATGTTAAATAACAATTACTTTAACGAATATATTGCCCAAAAATCTATTGATGCCGACTTAAGAAACGATAATATTCAAACAATTCAACCAAAATGGTGATAGATGTTGTAATAACTGGTTATAATAAATTATAAGATATAGTATATTAACTAAATTATACTTTACTAAATTTTACCTTTTATCAAAAATACTAAAAAAATAAAAAAAAGATCGTAATAATGTTTATTTATGAAACTTATAAATTTTTGAAGAGCAAAAAAAGGCATTTTTAATTTTATTACATTATTTTAAAATCATGATTATAGGGGTGTGATAAAATGGCTACTACCCAAAAAATGGTTACTGTCAGTGTAGAACTTCTTTTTTGTAAAAATGAAAAACATTTTATTTAACAAAATTAAAATGGAAATTGATAATGAAAAAGTGGACTTTTGGGTTTAGTGAATAAATTTTTTTGATTTGAATAAGTAAAAATAGATGGAGTGTGTGTAAAATATCAAACCATAATTGAATTAACAATTAATTATATTTATATTATTAATTTTATAAGGTAATAAACCATAGTTAATAATTAAGTCAAATTATAAAACTCCTGCCCAAATTGAAAACATTTGTGCCTATGTCGTGTTCAGTTTATGCGCCCTTTGGTATCGACTTATCAAAGGGTGATATTTTTCTGACTTTTTTTTATTATTGCGGACTTGTTCTTATTATTTTCACCACTTGTTAACACATATTATATATAATATTATTGAATTAATGGAAATACAAACTTGTATGTTTAAGTTGTTGTTATATTTGTCATTTTCTTTAAGTGGCTGCCGAGTTGCCACATTATTTTAACACCACTTTTGGGGTTTTATATGAATAACTCGTGTTTTAGGTTTATAAATTTTAATTTGTTTATTGGTTTAATTTAGTTATTTATTAATAAAATATGATTTGATTTTTTGAACTTTTAACTAAAACTCTATAATAAATAAAACAATAAATTGATTAGTTTTATTATAATATTTTAAATTATATAATAATTGTTTATAGTTTTAATTTAATTTAAATGTTATTTTTCGATATACTATATAATAATAACAATATTATTATATATAGTAAACTGGTTTTATTTATAGAAGTCTTTAATAAAAAAATCAACTTGTTTATCTTGTACATATCTTTGAACCAAGTGGTTCTTATCATTCAAATTTTGAATCTCAATCATCTCTTGATGTTTATATATAAGTTAAATAATGCATATGTTTATTATATAACTATTTTAATTTTTTATATGAAGTAAAATATAGGATCATAAAAATACATTGATTTAGATACAAAGGTATCTACATGTATTTCGTTTATAAAAGTAAACAAATAATGATCGTCACTAGATGTAATATACATGTTTGTAATATGTTGTATTGTATAAATTGTATATATCATCGATTTTTTTTATAAATATCGAAAAAATTCAGACTTAAAAATTACTCAAAAATACAAATTTTATTCAAAAATGAAAGATTGATGATTACTATTAGAATGATCTGTATAAAATACAATTTCAGTTCACACAAAAACATTTTTATAACAATTATTAAATAAAAATAAAAAATCCCAATATAAAAAAAACGAATTGTTTTTCAAGTGTAATTCTTAATTTAATTGGCTGTTTAAAAATTTTTGACATATTTTCATCTGACTAAAATAAACTTTCCCAAAAGTGCATTAAAAACAACAAAAAATAATATTAAAAATTTTAGACTATTTGTTGAAAATGCTAAATAAAATGTTTTTCATTTTTACAAAAAAAGAAGTTCTACACTGACAGTAACCATTTTTTTTGTGTAGTAACCATTTTATCACACCCCTATAATCACAAACATTTTTTAATGACCATTTATTATATAAAACAGACAAAACGTAATTATATTGAGTAATTTATATCGTCCACAACTTTTTGGCGATTGTTTACGAAAAAAAAATTAACAATACATTAATGAAATATTGTCTGATCCATTTGTAATTTGCACAGATTATATCATAAGCATTTTTTAAAATAATTTAGAAATGTGTTAATTTTTATTGAAAATATAATGTTGTAATAAATGTGAATAATTTAAAATGATATTACTTGCTTTGATATTGTTTTATTGAACTGTGTCTTATTTTAAACAACAAATAAATAATTGATTTGATTGATAACGCGACAAAAAAAACATTTCAACATCATAACTGAATTAAAAAATTAATTCTATCAATATCAGATAGAAATGATAATATTTCCAACTTTTAATTATCTATTAGTTGCAAATTCAACAAGAAATTATAAGAAGTTGATAAACAACGACGTTAATACATACAAGATGAATTAAAAACAAGAACTTCAAGTTTTTTAAGACTAACTTTGTCAAATGATTATATGATATTATATATATATACAAATTTAAAGTTTGTGTAAATTAACTTTAAATTGATTCTTTGTATGTCTGGTGATTATATATAAACTAATGTTTATTTTACATATTTATTGTTGTTTGTTACAAAAAATAAAAATTATACACAACGATCTTTTTTGCTTTTCAAAAAAACATTAAATAACAAAATAAATTTTTGATTTTATTATTAGTTTATTGACAAAATTATAGACCAAAAATGTATTAGTTAAAAAAGGTGCAGAAAAAACAACTGAATCTAAAAGATTTAAAGAAGTAAAATTTATACTTTTATACCAAAATGAAAAATTTCATAGTACAGATACAGGAAAAACCAGGGACCAAATCATAAACCAGGGACCAGACTAAATTAAGCTGTTTTATTTTTGGTATAAAGTTTACTTGTTATGGAAAAATCCCCAAATAATCGGGGTTTTGGAATGATACGTTGGTTTATTTTCAAAAACCAGGGACCAACTATTAATAAACACACTGTTTTTTAAAATAAAATAGAAAAAACTATAAAATATGAAACTCTTAATTAATCATTCAGAGTTGTCTCATTTGTTAATGCTCAGCCGATCCAAAGAAAAGTTTGTTTTTTATATTGATTTATCTTCCGTTGTTTAATACATTTAATAATTATCAATCATTTACTGAATGCCTTATGTTTTAATTATTTGTTTATTATTTACTTTATTTTCATTTATTGCTTGAGTCACTTTTAATGCCGAACGAAAAGTGACTCATCAAATCAACCAAGTGAGTAGAGAAGACTACGACATCTACTTTGAAAAAATGAATGAACGATTTAATTGAATGATTATGTTGAAGTTAAACATGGTTGAACAAAAGAATAATATTTGATAATAAAACAATAATTAATAATAATAAATTTACTATTATAATCCACATTAAGCTGTTGTTTATTCATACTTTATACAACACATTCATTTTTTTTTAATCCCGAAAAATAACCGTTTTTAAGACCAAATAATAAGAAAATTACACACTTATTTATATCTTTGCCTGTTTTATTGTATAAAATCCTCTTAATATTCAATAGCTTAAATTAGTCTGGTCCCTGGTTTTTCCTGTGGTCCCTGTTAATTCCTCTATCTGTAATATAATTTTACGTCAACCTTACAAAAATACTCAAATAATATATAAAATTGATTAATAAATTAAACACATTTCTATTGAGAATTAATATTGTATAAAAAATAATATAAACATATATTTCTTGTGTATACAGTGGCAATATTTAAGTACTTAATTTGGAATAAACCCACTTAAGTGAGTAAATTTTGGTTTTATTTTTAGAAATAACAAAAAATTTAAATTACTGAAATTATGTTATAAGACAAAAACAAAGTAGAATTAAAATTTAACGAACAACATAACAAGAGTGTTTCCAAAAGCAGTAAATATTTTTTTTGGAAACC